GATAATTATATGAATTTAGAAACCTTTAACTTAATATAATTTCTTTTTACTGAATAATTTGACTGCATTAATTACTCAAACTAGCCTCTCAAAAATGGAGGAATCTAAGAAGCATTTAAGGCACATAATTCTTTATGAGCGTAAAAAAAGGGAACTCTGCAACTGAAGTGACTCAAAATATTCACTCAGCTTATGAAGAAGAATGCCTGAATGAAAGAAATTGCAGAAGATGGTTTGCTAAATTCAGAAGTGGAAATTTCAGCCTTGGAGATGAAGACCAAACAGGATGTTCAGTTGAGTTTGATGATGAGCTCCTTGTGGCATATCTTGAAGAAAATTCTGCAGTATTAGTTGAAGAATTGGCAATGAAGCTTTGTTCAAATCATACAACTGTTTATCGTCATCTTCAACAACTTGGAATGTTTCCTCAACTTGGGAAATGGATGTTTTTCGAATTGTCTGAAGTCAACTGCAAATCCTGAGCTGACATCTACTCTTCTATTCATTCTCATGAACTCATCTCACCCTTTTTATATAAACTTGTGACTGGTGATGAAAAATAGATTTTTTATCAAAATATTAAACGTCATAGACAGTGGCTTGGTAATGAGGAAAAGGCCAAAACACAACCAAGAAAGGAACTTCATATGCAGAAGGTTCTTCTCTCAATTTGGTGGGAATGCAAAGGAATAATTCACTTTGAGTTACTACCAACTAATGCGACGATTAATGCTTAAGTCTACTGTTGTAAATGCTGCTTCCTTTAAATGTTGGGGTTACCAATGTAAATGGTGTTTTGTTGAAAAGATTATGTGGCTGTGTGTTAAAGAACATTTAACATTTATACATTTTTTAAAATCAAGGAAAAACAATGGAAAACTGATTTGTGTTTCAACAATAAAACATATATATTAAAATCAACAACAAATACAAGGTAATTTGTATAATGTGTGAATAAGGAGAAAAAGTAGTTTCCCTTTAACTGTTAGTTTAATTAGGAAATGTAATTAAGCAAGTTTTCTGAATATAATGTTCAAACTTCTATGTTAAAATAGAATGTGTATTCAGATCATATAGTTGTGTGTTTTGTGACTAACAGAGTTGTTGCAACTTGGCTTGTACACAAAGAACTGATGGTGAATGATATTCAAGTTCTGTGTCTGTGTGTATGCGTGCAGCGTGAGTAGAATGAATAATCTGTGTAGACACGTGTAAGTAGTTGAGTTCTACTGTCTTCAACTCAACTGTTTTCAATTCTATTGCTTAATTTGGGAATGAATCCGAACTTATATTACTATTGGTAGGCTCCCAGTACGAATGCAGGATAAATTTTGAAAGAACACGAAAAATATCTGATTGGATGAAAAATTAACCAATCGGTGATTTTATAACATGTTTGTGAGTTAACGGTAGGAAAAATTCAATGTGGTGAATATGATCAGTAAATTGTCCTGTGATATTTAGTATATATTATTTGACCAATCACAGTTGAGAAAAATCTACGCGTATCAAACATAGTAGTAATCACTACACTATCAGCAATTAGAGTATTTGTACACAGCTTAGAAGAATAAAAGACATGTTTTAGTGATTCAAGAAGGAGCGGTCTTTCATCAGGACAATGCACAACCCCACAATAATACAAATGTCACATCCAAGAAGACTGAAGAATTTGATGAGAAAGAATTCCTCATCCACCTTATTCTCCTAACCTTGCTCCTTCAGACTACCATTTCTTCCATAGTTTACAGAATGATTTAGATGGATTAACTCTCAAAAGCCATGAAGAGGTCAAAATTGACATTTCAAAGTGCTTCTCTTCAAAACTGAAAGAGTTCTTTATTAGTGGGATTAAAAATCTTGGAAGCAGATTGAAGAAAAGCATAAATAATCAAGAAAACTACATTGATGAACAAAATTCAATAAAATATAAGATTTGATCACTCATTCTTAATTATTCAAAATCCAGAACTTATGAGATGATATGATAAATTCAAAAGAAATATATATATATATATATATATATATATATATATATATATATATATATATCATATAATATATATAAGGTTCAGCGTAAATGACGGTTCCGTATAGGATGCAGGTTCGAATCCTGTCAAAGGACGAATATTTTCTATGAAAATTTCTCGGACATTCAGGCCGGTAAATGTTATTTAATACTGTTTATTATAAACAGAGCATTTACTTAAATACTTGTATCTATAAAAAAGAACATTAAACATAAAAATGTCTTTAATAAATATACATATATATATATAAATATATATATATATATATATCAACTACAAGAATTTAGAAACACAATTGTATATTCATATGGTCAACTGAAAAATTACGATAATTGCTTCAAATAGTTCACATTCAACAAAATGCGCCGGCTAAAACTACAGTATTCCTACTATCTTTTTTTCTTTATACATATTGTCTTTTTCTACAGGTTAATTCTGAGAAAACTGTTACATATATATATATATATATA